CATGTCTCCATTACGATTAATAAAAATGAAATTATTTCGACGATGAAACGCCGACGCATGATAAGATTCACGCAAACATCTCTTAAAACGCGACACGCTCGTCATCCTAAGTTTAGCTCTTACATAATACACTCGTCTACGGTTAAATGAGTTTAATTGGTACTCGCATTGTTTTTTTCTTAAGCGGATGGTCGTAATTCTTTACTCTCTCAAGCGAATAAATAAAAAAGATAAGCGATAATACGTAGTACAGCATTGAAATAAAGAGAGAAAATATAAGAACATCCTTCGGCGATAAGAGAAAAATAAAAAGATAAATAAAGTAATATCAATATTCGTAGCGTTCTCTACGTTTTCCTATCACTATGCCATAACGTCCTTGTAATAATTTATAAATACTACTATGGTATTATGGTACTATTTCGAAATACGTAACTAAACAAATATTACAATATGATTCATTTTAATTCAATATGGAAGCATCGCATTACAACGTGATAACTCGTACCGTGAAATCGTATCTCCAAGCGTTTAATTTCTAACGAGATTCCAATAAGATGGCAAAGATACGTTCGAAGAGAACTTTGTAGGGTAGTCGATAATCCAGTCATGGAGAGAGAGTATGCCTTCATGGTTACGACGAAGGTCATTGCACTCTCTGACTGTACTTCTTATTTCTCTTTCTTTCTCTCTTTTGTTCCATGTACAATGTACATAGTTCGACGACCCGGTAAAGAAAAAAAAAAGAAAAAAAAAAAAAAAGAGAAAAAAAGAAAAAAGAAGAAAAAATGAAAAGAAGATGACTGTAAAGGAAGAAACGGCTTATTCGACGATTCAATTTCTTCCGGTAATTGTGACTCTTTCCCTGATCGAACAACGTTCCTTTCGATTGAGTAACCCGAAAGATAGACGACGTGTGACCAGTGATCTAGTTTTCTCGGAATTACGCATCACGCGAAAGAAAGAGCTTTCGAAGGTATACATTTATTCAAAAGTTAATGAATTTATTTCCTATCAAAGAGATCGATTCAAATAAGTTTTTATTTCTTTACAAACTTTACAAAGAATTATACGTTATTTTTATGATTAAATAAAAAAAGGTTTTGATCATTTAATCTTTCAGTATTTTTTCAAAAATTGTTATAACGTTATTTGACAATTACTTCATAATAAATAACGTTTGATATTAAATATTTATATGAACAATTTAATGTTGCATACGTTTGCTTTCATTGATTTTTAAGATGATAAATAATATATTAGAATAATATTTCATTTGTGATGGCATTGGCGTGAATTTTTCTTTTTTTCTTTTTTTTTTTTTTTTTTCTTTTTCTTTTATAGCTTTTAAGAGTTAAAAGCCATCCAGTCACGATCGCATTGAATTTTCCATTCGGACCTAACGTTTACCCGTTGACATTAATTGGAAATCGATGCCGTTTGCCTATCTCCATTTCTCTTTCTGTTTCTACGGTACGTTAAACTGACGCTATTTATTTCGAATGGTCGTCCATTTAAAAAAAAAAAAAAAAAAATTACAACGAACTTTTCAAATCTCATAAATATTAATAATAACAAAAGAACAAATTCGAAATTTAAAGTTTGTTTTTTTTCAAAGAATTTCTTTGAATTACAAAGAATTTTATTGAATTATATTAAACGAAATCCGATAGTGTACAAAAGATCTTTGTGATTTCAGTGAATCTCAATTGCAAACTTTACTTACTCCTCGTTAAAGTTTTAAGATGAGGACGTCGTCTCTACAGCTATATGTTGTACAATGTCCGACGTTTTATCCGACGATCCAAACGATTGCACTAACAATGCGAAAAAAGGAGACTCGAGTCTGCCCACGTCTACGAGGGCTCTCTCTGTCACTTTAGTTAGCCTATTACTACCATTAACAAGTTACTCTTCGTACAGCTTTATAGCATTGACACTCACCGATAAAATCTTTTCTTAGTGATAGAAACATTTTTTTACTTATTGACATGGCATTTTGCATATGAATCGTGTGCCAACTTTCCTTCATTAATAATAAATTTATCTTTTCATTTTTCGATCAACGTCACAATCATTACTTTTAAAAACTCATTTTTAAGAATCATAATGAAAGTCGTAAATTATCGTTTTTATATATTTCAAATAGAAAATATATTCAAGGAAAGATTGATCAACAAATTTATATATTCAAACATAATTGCAAAATGAATGATATAACAATATAGATATGTAAAACATCGCTTTCCTCGCTCCGATTAGATTCTTATTAATACATTTACTTCATTTGTTATCATTCTTCAACGTGTATGGATTAAGATCTAACAAATCTCTTTTGAGATTAATTCGAGATTAAAGTATCATTATACAATGATATTACGAGTTATAAATTAATTTGACTATATGATTTATTTATTTAATTTGACTATATAATTATGAATATTTATCTGCGTACTTTGTAAAATACATTTGTAAAATAACTGAGCGAAATATGCCAATCGAATAAGTGGAAAGCAAGATTGTATCATTCCAATAATCAATAGAGACTTGTTGGAAGGAAACAAAAAAATAGGATATATAATTAATATATCAACATAAAAAAAAAAAAGTATAAAAATATTAATTCATAATTTTTTCACTGGAAATCTCTTTTCTCCTTCACAAAAAAAAAATTTATGCGTCGGAATGCAGTCCATATATATCTATTATTATCATTTCTACAAACCACGATAACGATAATATCCGTATTTACCTTTCTTGGGAGTGTCTTCGACGAAATTGAGAGTAGGCCGTTATCAAGTCGTGTTATTAATATCTAATAATTGATCGTAACTGATTTTCATATTGAATTGTGTTTAACTTCTCATTGAATTGTGTTTAAACAATGAAATTGTCTCTGTTAATTAATATTCTTTTAATAGCTTTATCAGATCGTCGATAATTTGTAATTCATGCTTAAACATTAATTAAGATTATTGGAAATAATGTAAAGATTTCGTTAAAAACATTTAACATTCTATTATATATCAAAGAGAACAGTAGCATATAATTAAAATTAATGATTATTACAAATAATATGTAATTTTAAACTTACCAAATATTTCTTTCTGTTAAACTCTACAATTTTGGATTTAATCGAAACATAGTGAAGACTATTTTATATGAACAAGATTGAAAAAAAGCACATAATTAAAAATATCACATAATTCACGAATGATAAGTTGAACTTTTGTAGATATATTACAATTCAGACATATCTTTACAAAGAATACTATCTTAAGCCTGTTCACCACCTTTCGCTTGAAGCGTGTGTGACTTCAGCGACAACTATGGACAATACATGAACTACAAGCACAATAAGAGATATTGTTCCAACTTACGTAAATATCGCTACGGCTTTATATGTGTTGATAATACCTCTTTCAAAAATAATCTAATATTCGAATTAGAATTATTTATTAATATTGATATATTAGTGTGTTAGGAAAACGATGATTCTATATTAAAAATCTACATTCGCGAAATAATCTAATCGAATTTTCAAACTAAAATGTTTAAAAACTAAATTCTCGGCAGTACTTTTAATCGTGCTCATGAATACTCATACCTGTGTACTAGCCAACACGCACACAAATGTTCTCCCTATCTTTCCCGTATTCTTGCGTAAAAATTGATGATGAATCTATCTATCTAACCCTCGATGATCCCTCGATGATCCTGAGAAAAGAAGAAGATAAGATGAAAATAAGAAGAGAAAGAGAAGAAATATGAGATAGAAAAGAGAACCGAAGAAAGAAATGAAAAGAAAGTTGTAGAAAGAAAAGAAGAGAGAAAACTGAAAACGATCCGTGTTACGTGTTCAAAATGAGAGATAGATATATTGAATATCGTTCCATCCGACGACCAAAACTGAAGTACCAAAATCGAGCTCGATTTTTGTGTATTAAAAAAAGATCCATCTAAGGGATCCAAAATAGAAGGACCCTTTTCAAAGATTCCACCTGAGAACTCTAAACGATGCTGAAAGAGCAGCCCATACAAAGGCCCATATTCATGGGTCCCATTCATGGGTCCAATCCAAGACATAAATAATGATTAATAAGAATAGATCAAAATAAATAGAAAAAATGGCGAGCATAAGTGAGATTAGAAAAATTTTCTAAATAAAAAGATATCCATAGCTATTCGCTCGGTAATACTTGTATCCCATAAGATTTCGATATATTGTAAGTAGAATATTATCGACTCAGATCTCACTGTGTAAAATTTATTGCATCTGGAAATTCATTTATAGCTTCCCGTACAAAAATCTAAATCAGTATATATTCAATAGGGTCAATTTTAAATCGATAATATATGATAGTATATGTATATACTATAATAATACTCTAATTAATAAGCTTTCATTAATTAATCACTTTTGATGATATTTCATTTTATATATGCGACTATCATAAATGCCCGCGTAAGTTCATGTAAACATATACATATAGATATATCTCTTAGGGATACACGATATGTCTTGTACACATATATATATATTTATACGAACAAAATTAATTTTCTATTATATTAATAGAAAATTAATCCTATTATATTAATAGTAAATTAATTTTAAATACGTACAGTGAAACTGTTAACAGAGATAGAAAGATAACATTAGAATAGAGATAACATTTTAAAGATCTCTCTCATTGTCATTCATCTCTGCTCAACAACAAAATAAAAAACGTTCGAGCGTGATAAAATATTATTACCAGATATATATATATATATATATATATATATATATATATATATATGTGTGTGTGTGTGTGTGTGTGTACAAATATGTTTGCTATGCTGTACTATTCGAAAATTTTAATAAATGCTTATCGAGAAAAAGTATTTGTAAATAATCAAAGGACGATCGAGAGATCGGCCTTGATACGACTTTCCCCTATTCGTCATTCTTACTAACGTGTTAGTACGTAGTTTTCGTTCTTCTAAACAACTGTCTAGACGTGTTCAGATCTACTCTTGCTTCGTTAATTTCATTTCATTTAGATTTTCATTTATGTTATATATAATATTGCGTTAATTTGATTTAATTATCTGTTGTTTATTAAAAAACATACATACATCATACACCACTTTAGCGTTTATATGAAAATCAGTAGGAAGAGTAAAAGCTTCTTCTCTTTTACCACGAAGTTCAAGGGGCGCCACTATACGAATCTTTAAACATGAAAAATGTCGAAAACCAACGTTTACGCCAACAGCAAGTCCAAGTATAATTTTTGAACGATTTTAATGAACGAGATCTCATTTTAAAGATGAAGATTTAATCGAAAACATGGCTTTTTCGATTTTCTTTTTAACTTTAGTTTTATGTATATACTATTGTCAAAATAATACCATTCTTTGGTACGATCTTTTCCAAAAAAAAAAAAAAAGATAAATCTTTTTCAATAGTACTCATTATTGGCGTTGATCATTATAAAATCAGAGATGAAATGAACAGCTTTAAATTAATAAAATTAAAGTTTTCTTTTTCAATAATTTTGAGATTTGTTAAAACACTTCACATATACTTCGACATAAAACGTAAGACATAAACTATAAAGAAATCTATAAATCAGAATTAACTAATCCTTTTTATATTTTTCTATGCAAGATAAAGCGGTAAAAAATTTCATAGAAGTAAAATTCTTACGATTTGTTTTAAGTCTTATGCTAATTCATGTATCAAGGCCTTTATAGATGGCGCTACCTCTGCCATATTCTATCGTAGCCTGTATACATAGTGACACGTGTTGAACATTACAAATTTTATTTAAAAAGAAAAGAGTTATCTAGAATCGATATTAATTATATTATTGATTATATTAATCAATTGTGTTATAGGTAAGGAAAAAAGAATTATTTGTTATTTACAGTGAAAGTTATAATATAAGTGAAACTTTTGAACATTCTTAAAAGTGAGGTTATATCATATATATTATTTTGATAAATAACATTGTGTAACAAATTTTCTTAATAATCTATAAATTGTATTACATTTTTTATGCATTTCATTAATAACAACTTCTATTCAGGAATCAAAATAATGGCAAAATCATTACGTAGCAAATGGAAGAGAAAATGCAGAGCTGTTAAGAGAGAACGTTATGGTGCGAAAGAACTCGTCAGATTGAAAAAGACTCTTGGTATCGATGAAAATGGTGATATTGAAATGCCAGAGATATCTGAGATTGCTAAAGGTATATATTATACATATTTGGAATATATTATTTTTATAAACTTTTTAAAATAAATTATAACAATGTGATATTTTTGATAGTGGTTGCTGCAAAAGACATAAAAGAAAATTCTAAAACAAAGGAAAATCATAAAAGTGATAGTACAGAGAAAATGGAAGTGGACAGTGGTAGAGTATACGATAAGAAAACATTAAAGGATCAATATGGAAATTATCCTATCTGGATGAATAGACGAAAGATAATGAAACATAAGAAGGGAAGAGCAAAGGCTGATAAAGGTACTACGAAAACAAACAAAAGATTAACTAGGCGACAGAAAAAAGAATTGAAACAGAAGAACTAATGTTATACATTTGTAATTATTAAATGGTAAATGTTTATTTTGACACAAGATAAAAATATACAAAAATATTAGAATCAATCAAATCAAAACTTTAATATTTATGAAAATATTAATTAATATTAATCAATAAGAGATCCTTACGCTTAGTTTATATTTCTTTTTATTATAAAGCTGCGTACAAAGATTCGTAAAATTATTTAAATTACATATAACACTATATGGTACTATCATATAAATGCTAACGTGGCAGTGACACCGGTACCTCATATTTTCATCAAGAAAAATTTCATGCAAACGCGATAACAATACGATCATGATTCGTTTCACATTTCACGACAGTGTATCTAAATTAAAAATTTATAGATCCAGAGTTAACTGGCAAAGAAGATCTACAACGTGTTCTTAGCCTACTTTCTAAATCCGCCACACGATTCGTCAAGTGTTGCACTTTCCTTGCCTCTAACTCATAATGTTTTATTTTACTTCTCATATCATATATCTCTTGTTGCATAAGTTGCTGAAATCAGATTTTTAACATTTGTTCATTAGTATTCTATCTAGATGTTCTAACGTGCGTACAATCATAATTTCATTAAATCTTACCACATTCTCGACCGCTCTTCTCATGTCGTTTATACTCTCAACGGCTAGAGTAATTTTTGCGCTCATATCCGTCGCTTCTGTATCTCTTTTCTTATTCCTTGCTACTTGCTAAGAATAATAAAATTGTTTTTGTAATTATCATTAAAATATTCTTTAATTAATTTAGACTTAAACTATAACAATAACATCTTTAGAATGTGATTTAAAAAAAAAAAAAACAAATTGAAATAGATTGACATAGATAAAAAGAAACGTCGCAATACAACGAACATACTTTTTCTAGTTTAGTAAGTCTCTTCAAGATGATCTCATAATCCTGATCGAGGTCAGCATCCCCCACTTCGTTTTCTGCATCTGCAAAAAATTAGAATCATGTGTCGGACGACACGTCACTCTATTTGTTGATTCAAAACGACGACAGGAAGGACGTAAACTTGCGCATAGATATTTTTAACTTATCTCTGAGGAGCACTCTATATACGAACCGTGAGAGGAGGTGGTAGTTGGTTTTCTCGTAGTACTCGTCGTCGTCGTCAACGATTCATGGAAGTCGTTCTCTAGATCTCGAGCCTCAAAAGCTGTATCTTCGGTGTCTGCAAAACGTACGTGGCTAGCCTGATGAAAGATCAAGGAAGAGCTCTAGCCTAGTGCATTCGAGCTGTTTCTGGAAACTCACCATTTCTTCGACAGGATTGTCCATCTTGTTGAAGATGAAAACCGGCTCTGCAGTAACACTCGTAACTACCAGGTAGGTTTCTGCAAAGTTGTCCGCATGGCTTCTCTGTCACGCATTCGTCTACGTCTATAATATGAAAATTGATATTACATATCAATCAATTTTATTCTCTTCCTTTCTCAATATATTTTAACAAATATTTTTTAATATTTTTTTAATTTATTTATTCTTCTTAATAATGTGATATCAATTTTTTTTATTTAAAACAATTCCCTCTAAAAATATTATTTCTAATAATTAGAATAACCACTTTATGTGTTACAAGATTTGTATCGTCCTATCTTTTAAATCTTTAAGAATTATACCGACCGAATATATTTTTGCTTAAACAACGTGTATATATATATATATATATGCAAGGTAACACCTTAAGCTTGATTACCACGTACGAACGTGCATGTACTACAAACTAAAGGCTACGACGCGAACTCGTTGCAATTAATTTCGAAAAGGCAATTGCACATTGAGGATTAGGGAACGTCTGGTATATCCTCGTCGTTTCTATCTCCAGCCACCTTCGTAAATCTTTCCACTGGTCTAAGTAATTTTAATCGAGTGACAAAGTTTTCCGTCGTCTGAACGAATCGCGAATGAACGATCAAAAAAAAAGATGATCCTATAACGCAAGACGTCGCCCAAGTAATTAGAACGTTCGTGTAACATATCGATAATCGCTCGTAAATCTATCGAAAACACACGGTCTATCCAAAGGTAGAACACCATAGTGCCTAGATACGTAAGCACACATTTAAATATACATGTATGTAAGTTCACATACAGGGTGGCTCATATTGTTAGAACAAAATTCTAGTTTGGAAGACATGAAAATTTCTGATAATCTTTTCAATGATAATACATTTATAAGATTGAATTAAATCCAAATAAAAGTAGACCTGTGATCATAATATTTAATGCGATTATATCTTCTTTAATATTATTTAAATATTTTTTTATAGAAAATAAAATGAGTTTTATTAGAAAAAAAGAAATGACATATAAGGAAGATTAAAAGATATCTCGATATCCTAAAAATTGCCAGCAATTAAAAAAAAAAAAAATAATAAATAAAATAAAATAATACATTATATCGGTCCCTTTTAAAATATAATTACATTTCAAAGACTTTTTTCATTAAAATTAATATTTATAGAAATATCAAAGTAATTCTAGTTATATAGACCACCCCGTAGATAGATAAATAGGTTTCTCATTGACTATACACACGGAGCGTAATGCTATCGAATGGAATATCGCACCGCGTCGATTTAATTACGCCCAACAATTCCTGGCTACACGAATGTAATCGTTGTTTGGTATCGATACACTCCAGATACTTCATGATTTAACGACTCGCATTCGTCAGTCGAGTCATTATCGCGAACTTTGTAAGGCACTTTTACTACGAGTTACCTTAGAAGGATATCGATACTTTGTGTCGTTAGAGTTAGAGAATTTCTAATCTAACATAAATATATACATATCGTCTATTTTCTTATTTAACGTTTATTTCTACGTAAATTATGATATTGAAATTGTATAGAAATATGGGCTCACCCGATTGGCACTGACTACCAGTAAAACCCTTCGGACAGACACATTTCCCTGGTGAAACACAGGTTCCACCATTTAAACATGACGCTAAACAGGTTGCTAAAAGACAAATCGCGTTATTAAGAAATTATTCAATTATTATTATTATTATTATTATTATTATTATTATTATTATTATTATTATTATTATTATTATTATTATTATTGTTATTATATAAATATTTTTAGTATAATATATATATATAAAAGTGTAAAAAGAGGATCTTACGTTTGTTGCAACCGAAACTGAGACGAGTAAACTGCATCCAACCTGGACAGCACGTGAAACCGGGTGTCATTTCGGTGTAGACTAACCTAAAGTATACAATGATTCATCTCGAGTAATTTGAAATTTTAGAAGATCTCGATGGATCAACAGTATAATAAAGTTTACCTGATCTGTCTACCACGGTGATGATGCGGGGAAGAGGCAGTGGTTTGTCGTGCACATACTCGCCTTCTAAAAAAAAAAAAAGAAAAAAAAACAACAACGATAACTTCGTTTGAAAATAGCCCGAGAGCTAAGGGAGAAAGAAGAAAAAAAAAGAAAAAAATAAAGAAAAATATAAAAAAAAAAAAAAAAAGAAAGAAGAATAGATGAAGAAATATATCTAATCGAAAGAGCAGAAAAGTTTAAACGCGACGAGAGATAGATGCTACGCATGATCTGAAAATAAATCGTCCAGTACGACACGTAACGAGCTCTCGTTGCTTTAAGAAGGTCGCGTCTTTCACGTCGAGGGGACGAATCTGGCTTTGCATTCATTACCACGCCTCGATTCGCATAACGTGGAACCCTTTGTCGAATATACGATGAAGAAGAAGAATGTGTGTATGTATGTGTGAAAGAGAGAGAGAGAGAGAGGAAAGAGGTATTAAATTAAATCTCTTTTCATATTCACCATACAACATATGTTTCCTTGATTTTACCACAGAGAGTTTGGGAAGCCGGGGTAATTAAAAATAGCGAATTGCTCGGTAGTCGACAGAGTGGTTATATGGTGACAGTAGTGCTGAGAAGCGATAGATCTGCGTTCCATACAGTGTTCGCATAGTTTCAAGATGAAACGATGTGAAGACGACCGAGGAAAAAAATAGAGAATGAATGTAGGTACATTATCATACGTAAATATTCGGATATTTAATAGACGTTATCAAAATGTACAATTTAAAGGAATTTATTCATTTTATTTGTTGGCAAACGAAGTAGGAGAATAATAAGGAATTAATTTTAATAACTAAATTTATAATAACTTGGATTGATTTTTTTTTTTTTTTTTTTTTTTTTTTTTTGAAGCAATTCATTGTAAATATAAAGTATAAAGAATTTTTCGTAATATCGAAGATATTTATTTTGGTACAAAATTTGTCCCATCATTTGTGATTCAAGTCATAACTTATATATCATTCCGTTATTTACTATTATCATAATTTTACACGTAGTGCTGCACGCAATATTCATAAACGTTAATCCTTCTCATATTTAAAAAAAAAAAAAGAATATATATATATATTAAATTTATACTATTACAATTCATATTCTTATTAATTATTTTATAAAAGTTATTATCAACAATATTTCAAAGTATACGACCGTCCGGATACTTATAGTAGTATATATTATAACTGTGATACGCAAACCATTTATATTCACGATCCTCTTACGAAGAAATTCTACGCGTGCCTTGACATTTTTTTACATTACTTTAATAAGTATAATGGTAGAGTAATAATATTTTATATATATATATATATATTTTTTTTTTATTTTGCAAATAAAGTAAAATTTTTTCTTCTCGATTTAATTCTTGTTATATGAAAAATGTATATAAAAAAAAGTTTACTATATCTTCTCATAGTTCGTGCATTACTGTATTACTATAGTTTAGATAGAAGAACGCGTTAGCGCAAGTATATTCTACATATATGCATATATACATGAAGATCATATATAATTTGGTACGAAGAGGCGGACTCGGTGGAACCACTTCGTCATCATCAGGGCGCAGAAAATTGCGTTTTGCCGTGTCGCTGTCATGTTTACTGAAACGCGACACGACGTTAACTGTCCCAACAACGTATCCTCGATCCACACGATGCGTGCCCTCCATCGCATATTTTCCGACTCATGATCCTCTTCCTTGCAAGAAGGATAAGACATCGAAGGAAAAAGGAGGCATGATACGGGCATAGGGAACGCCGGACAAAGAAGCTGGACTCGCCCGATTAAACTCAGCTAGCGGGCACAAGAGTGCAATTAAAACGCCTTCTGCCTTCCCAAAAAAGAGAGGGAGAGAGATAGAGAGATAGAGGCAAAAAGAGAAGGAAAAACAAAAAGAGACACATTGGAGTAGCATGACCCTTATCTTTTTCCCTCTCTTTTTTACCTTACCTCGTATCCTTTCTTTTATAAAGCTTTCTTCTATTGCCAGCCACTACTCTCGATGCTATCGAATAAAAAGTTTCATGGAAAATGATGCAAAAGAGAAATGAAGAACGTTAGTTCTTTGGCATTTTTAGCATACTTTTTTTGTTCATATTCGTGATAACATTATAGTGAAAATATTGAATCAAAAAACGAGTTCGTAAAATTATAAAACTAATGTAAGGTGTAATAATTAGTAGAAAATATGACACCGCGTTAATTAATTACTATTCAAATTGCAATAGATTAATCAATCGTTTTATTTTAATTGAACATTTTATCAAATCGTTCTTATCTCTTCTAAGATATTTTCTATATTATATCAGTAATTCTTTTTATCGACTGGCAACCACGTGTAACTATATAAAAATTAACGATCTGTGTGATATGAATATACGCATGATTTTAAGTAAAAGTGTAGGGTACGTCTAGCGATGAAATATTTTACTATTTTTCCGAAGTAATGGCCTGTAAAATATTCTTCTTAAAGTTATGAGAGAATTATGTCGCGCTTAGATTCTCACGACGTAATGCGTTCCAGGACGAAAGAAAGGTCTTGGACGAAGTCAAGAAATAAGGTATATGTGTAGCTTGAAGAAAAGGATGTAACTTTGGTGAATGCATTATTTTCGAGAAAAAGAATTAAAGGAACATAGAAATTTTCTCTGCTCAACTGATATATAGTATACTTATTGATTTTAGTCTTGAACACGCTCGGTGAGTGTACTTTAAGTAAATATTAGAAAGTCTCGTTCTTTAAAAATGAGTCACTTCCAAGTAATGGAGGATATACAGGGTGAGCTATTTAACATGTAAACTTTGAATGATTTCTGAATATTATATGCTTTCTATGACAGATCGTTTTATACAGTTACATGTTTATGAACACTCCTTAGAAACACTGTTAATTTAATTGAAATATTTAACGATATATCTCAATATAATAGAAAATTTGATATGTAAATGTAAATTTTTAAAGAAAAATGCAGAATATCTT